AGACTGAAGAAGTCTTTCGAAGGACGAAGCATGCAATAGTTGACAATATTGAAAATATTCTCTCGCCTGCTTTGTTGTTCATTTTGTCATTAAATTTCTCACAATTAATCTGATATATAGTGTTTGTATATAATATTCTACCAGAGTGAAATTAATGTCAACAGACTTAAACATCGAGAAATCTTACGAAAGGATAGGAATCGAACCTGTTTTCACTCAAAGAAAGCCTCTTTTAAATAAAGTGTGCCTTTTACCAATTAGGACTACGAGATGCACTTATGACACAGTGAAAGGTACACTTGCTTCAAAAGTGGTTTCACTAATGAAAAAGCAAATTTTTGATTTGTGCCAGTTTCGATTCGTGTCAGGGGTCACCTTTTCGTTAGTGGGACATCTTAATCTTTAAGCCAGGATGTCTACTCAAACACATGTACCCACTAAATATAACGATTATAATATCTGATTGGTTGAAAAGTTCTCGGGCTTTCTAAATAAATTTCATTACTTAGAATCCAAAAGTAGTTTCCTTCCAACCTGATAAATACTGTAGGATAGAAACATCTATTAATTAGAAAATATTACAAACTATAAGGAATGCACTTAGATGAAGTAATAGATAGAATAGTCATAAAAGGAAAAACATAGACGAACCTTACAAGCAGAGGCGGTTATAGGAGAATATAAGGAAAGAGAAGAAAATGCGTTACAGAAAGTGAATGAAACCATGAAAGAATAAATAACAAGAACAAGATGCAGGAAGAGAGATATCGAAAAAGAGAAACAGAAAAAAAGAGCGGTATTTAAAAAAAGAGACAGAAAAAGAGAGCAGTATTGAAAAGGAGAGACAGAAAAAGAGAGTGGTATTGAAAAAGAGAGACAGAAAAAGAAAAAATGAGAGATAGAAAAAGAAAGTGTTAACGAAAAAGAGAGACGGTGTATGAGTGAAGAAATGCTAAACAAAATATGGGAATTTTAAGGTGGAGAAAAGGAGAGCAAAATATAATGCAGGAGAGAGAAAGAGAGCGAGAACTGAGAGAGCACAGTGAGAGTTTAAAAATAATTTTAAGAAGTGTTTAAAAGATTGTACAAGGAAATAGAAAGAAAGAAAGAAAGAAAGAAAGAAAGAGCATATGAAGAGCAGTTCCCATAATGATGGATAGAAAAGAAAGTAAAAAGAGAATAAATGAAAATATATTACTAGTTAGAAAGAAAGAAAGAAGGAAAGAAAGAAGGAAGGAAAGAACGTATGAAGAGAGAAAGAACGAAGCCTCAGTAAAAGTGAAAAAGACGAGAGTGTTAGCGTGAAAGATAGACTAAGTGTTCTGAAAAGAGAATGTGTGAAATATGGCGTTGAAAGAAGATCAAATGAATGGAAAGACTGAGTGACAGAGTGGAATCGCCAGATGAGCATCCACAGACCAAAGACTAATGAAGTCGAGAAAAAGTGAGATGAAAGTAAGGAAATGTGAGAAAGTGTTGTCGGGTGGCGGGGGGGGAGTTGTTAAAGTCACGGGTGTAGAGAGAAATATGTTAATGATGATCTTAGATTGCTTCTGATTTAGTCTTTGTTGATGGATGAGATGGGCTGAATGTTGCACTGAATCTCGCGACAGCTGGTTTTGAAAAAGATTTAAAAAAAAAAAAAAAGATAAAAATAAAATAAAAGAAGAAGCAAACCAGACTCCAAGCACGAATGAGAATTACAGGAAGACAGGAGGGGGGATGGAAATTGAAAGAAAGAAAGAAAGAAAGAAAGAAAGAAAGAAAGAAAAACGATGGGAAAAAAGAAGAAATATTTCTATAAAACGAGTTTTGAAGAAGGAACTCCCCTACAGAACAAGAAAGAAAGAAAGAAAGAAAAGAAAGAAAGAAAGAAAGAAAGAAAGAAAGAAAGAAAGAAAGAAAAACAATGGGAAAAAGAAGAAGAAGAAGAAACATTTCTACAAAACAAGTTGGGAAGATGAAGAAATATTTCTACAAAACATGTTTTGAAGAAGAAGCAACGTCTCTACAAAACAAGAAAGAAAGAAAGAAAGAAAGAAAGAAAGAAAGAAAGAAAGAAAGAACAGTAGGATATGCGTTATAGGAAAAAGGAAGTTAAATAATTTAAAAAGAACAAGGAAAATGAAAGCAAATATATTAGTTTCATGTTTACGATTAAATTCCCGTTCCTTCTAAATTCTTCCCCTTCTATTTCACTCTCAAAAGACCCTTGCGTCTTAGTTGCATTATCACCTTGCATAGGGTGAAATGATTTTTCAAACAAAAGATACGAAGTGATGCAATACTAAGAATACTTTTTACTTGATTTCAAATAAAAGCTATCAGATATGACTACTGCAAATATTCATATAACAAAATTAATAAAGAACAAAGTGCTGGAATGCCGAGGAAACTTATTGTCAGTTGATCTCAATGAATGCCGCTTTAAAATCGATAGCTCTTGATCAACCCCATACAGTCGTTTTATTACTACATGCAAATTGTGTATGGCCATGATTTTTTTTTTTTTTTTGATTGGAAAGATAGAGGTGTGTCCTCCTATTGCCTTTTTCCATGGTTTTGAATTCAAAGTTTTTCATTTCCTAGACTGGTTGCCAACTAAGGCAAGTGAAAGCATTCTATCTTGTAATTTAATCCGTTGAAGAGAAGAGATGAAGTTCTACCTTTTAAGATTCGTACGAAGTGAGCGCAAATTTTCTCCAGCGGAATTTGAATCCGACACGCCGATTTCATTTGTAGTCACCCACCATTTCCTACATTTCTACATTTTGGAGTAGACATATGGGCACCTCGAGGGGGTTTAATGGTTAACAAGCTTGTCTCGCTAGAACAATTACGACTGAATAGTGATTTCGATCCTCACTTGGTGCCCCTTACTTTTGGCCTTATGCCACATCTACGCTTGGAAAATCGCTATCGACGTTCATATAATACAAAGAATATTTAAACGCTTAATGGGCTTATTGACCCGACATTATTTCTTATTACTAAGAACGTTATATTTAATGGCTTGAAAATTGTTCCTTAGACTAAAAAGGGGATATAGGGATACACATATTCGTTCTTAAGACTTTCCATCTCCAGGACGGTAGACATTAAATTCACCGCTTAAATACAGGAACTTATACTCAAACATGTGTGTCTAGTAAAAAGAACGTTTACAATAAGAAGAAATACAAAGAATGCTGAGGAAAGCAGTGGTGGACTGGTTATAAAAATATTGCTTGCCAGGAGAGAAAGGGAGGCCACTCACAATTTCAATGCTATCATTTCATTTTCATAACGAATAAATAATATTTTCAAAATATACATATAGAAAAAAGGGCATTTTTTGTGGAAAGATTCTTAGTAATTACAATGTACAGGTAATGTTCCTATTATTGGCAGTAGATACCAAATACAAATAGAGAATTATTTTTTAAATTTTAAGTACCGTATTTGACTGCATATAAGACGCTACCCAATTTCAGCAGAAAGAAAAATTAGTAATTAGTAAAATTATTAGTAAATGGTACAGTCTAAGCTATATTTATGAGGAAATATTTTGGTCGAACAGGCCATGATTACAATTAACGAAAAATAAAAAAAAAGAACACGATCCTATAAAAACTTTATTATATCCTTTATATGATCTGTACAACCTGCGTCTTGTAAACATCTTATTGAAATAATTAGGATATAAAAATTCTGATTGTATTTATACCAATGCAACCAGAAGTTATCGCAAGAAAAATATTAATGAAACAAATATATTTTACAAATATATAATTTGAATTTATTGCATATAATTTTAGTGAAACAAAGTACTAATATTAAATGTGATGAAATTAATATAATGAATATTATCAATGATAACACTTTTAATCTGCGTAATAGTCTGTTAAATAATGACAATAGGTATGTGAAAGTTACTCTAAAGTCTAAGCTAATAGGAGTTTCCAAGTAGCTAATTTCGGCTGACTATCGCGTATTTTAAACCTACATATGGCATATAAGACGCAGGAGAATTTTAAAAGATGTTTTAGTAAAAAGAAGTGCGCTTTAAAAACGGTAATTGGTTGATATTTTTAAATAGTTTACTGCACAACTTAAACATTAACAAATAGTTCAAAAGCCCAATAAAGCATTGCATGCAGTCCACTGTATTAAGTGTGATTGTTTCTGTTCACTAGATGATTGTTCGAACCTGCCAATAATTGCTTCTGCGTCCAATTCATCTAAATGGATGATTCGAAATTCTCCTTGGACAGCGAATTTCTTAACCTTGTCATTATGAACTTTAGCTTTGAAAATGTCCTCTCACATTAGACTTGAGTAACTGATAGTGTGCTGATGAATTTATAAACTTCTTATTCCTTTTTATTAATAAAAAAAAAGTTGTCTGTGTTTGTTTATTGCATTTTTATTCGATATAGTGGCCCCATTTGCAATCAGGCAATCTGACACACTGGACAGTCCTTGAGTACTGAGGAGATATGATATTTGAAAAAAGTTACTAGATACTTCTTGGGTTCAAATTCATATAAACACGAATAAAATTTTGTTGTGTTTATTACAGTAAGGTTTACCCTGTACGAGGCCTTGGGGGCCACTCGAGGTAGAGTGTTACCTTAAGGGTTAGTTTAATGGATAGGAGTGGAAGATAACGGTTAAGTCTAGATTTAAACAGGTTAAGATTGTAGTGATCGCGGAAACATCCTCTTGGGAGTCGGTTCCACAGGGCAGTGATTCGGGGGAAGAAGCTGTTTGAGTGGAACTTACTTCTCACCGATGGAATACGGAGTGAATGTGGGGGGGGGTGCTAATATGTAAGTGGTAGGGTGGGTCCTGGCCGTCCTGGCCGTGAAGGTTAAGCCTGGCAGAACCAAGGAATGTAGTTCGTCCGAACACTTTCCATGGTAGTAGCGATAGAGCAGTGAGAGGTTCGCTACATCGCATATCTGTGTGTGTGTGTGTGTGTGTGTGTATGTGTGTGTGTGTGTGTGTGTGTGTGTGTG